CGGGGCACCGGGAGCCGCGCGGGGCCGTGGCCGTGGCCGTGTCCGTGTCCGTGTCCGTGTCTCGCGCCGGGGTTTGGGACGGAACGTGTCATTTTTTGGCTGCTTCCGAGCTCGGGAGCTGCGCTCTGACCTGCTGGTGCTTCGGGGCAGCTTGGGGCAGTTTGTTCAGTTCTGCTGGCAAGCAGGGGGTTTGGATTAAGGTTGTTGAGAAGGGTAAGGTTATCTCTTATTGAAAATTGCTGGCGGGATGAAGAATGTGGAGCCTTATGGAACTGAACCTCTGAGCCGTGCAAGTAAGAAACTAAAGCTGGTCTCGCTGGCTCCAGTTGGAGAGTGACGTGGTTTGGCCGTTTATGCCTTGATGATGCAGTGTAGAATTGACACGAGTTTAGGAAATAAATCCAGGGCACCTTATCTTGTAGTTTGGATGTGCTCTGTGTTCCCTAGAGGATGAGCCAGGACAGGAAGGGTAGGAGCCTGTGGAGCTTGCAAGCTGCAGACCAAGTGACCCAACTCTGGAGGGTTGTTGCTGTGTTCAAAATAATCTCAACTTTCCTCCAGTGTGCATGGGAGAGAGACCATAAAGTATTTATACAGGCATGCTTGTACCTAACTCTGCTGTGGATTGTCATAGAAGCCTTTGCTGGAGGGGCATTTTAACTTGCTAAATAGATCGCTTACTCTGAAGCATTTTAAGATGGTGCTTCAGGAGATCCACGAAACTGAATGGGAGGATTGAAACACTCAAGTAACAAGAAAAACTGCTGCTGCTTCCTGTTTTTATTAAAACATCTATATTTAGCTTTTTTTGCCTGTCTAGCAAAATCCTTATTCATCTAACTCCTTATTTGTGTAACTTCTGCAGAAACTTTGTGTCTGAGCTCCTTTTATTTGAGGATATGTCGAAGCGAGGTCACTGCAGGCTCTGTCTCCAACAAATAGCAAGCAGTTTTTGTGAGCGTGGGCCCAGGACGCTTAGGGGAGCATTTGAGCCGTGTATCATGGAATTTATCAGCTCCTGCAACTGACTTCCATTCTTTCCCTCTATGAGAGGCTTTAAGGGAGCAGCGAAGCGCTCGCTGCCCTGGGGACGTCGCCAGGCGATTCCCGGGGCCGCCCCGTGCCTGGAGCGGCTGCCGCGGTTGCTGATTAGCCAAGTTAAGCCGGAGGAACGTGAGCGCCGGGGCTGGGTTGCTCAAGCTCCTGCGGTTGAGCCTGTTGACGAAGGGCTGTTGGGTTCCCTGTGATTGCACTAATTCCCGTGCCAAGGCTTGGGAGAGGCGCTCGTCTTCGCTTTTATCCGTATTGAGAAGACTCGCTTTGCTGTGGGCTCTTCGGCTTTCTAGCAAATGCATATGGAGATGGGGATTTTCATATGATCACCATTCCCTACTGAAGAGGAAGAGAAACTATTAAAAAGAACACTTTTCATCCTGCTTTAGGAACACCTCAAGAATGAGTCCACCACAAGATAGAAGTAGGAATTCCTGCGGCAGCGAGACTCTGGCAAAGTGCCTTCAAGCCAGGAAAGACTTGGAGACGGCCATTTCTGGAATTGTCAAAGCTGAACAACAGATTAAAGACAACTGGAGAGAGGTAATTTAATTTTGAAGTAAAACAATGTGGCTTCACCAACAGTTCTAGTTATTCCAAAGTACTTTGTGCAGTATGATGCTGGAATGAAATTTTCCTAGAGACAGCAGGCATCTTGCTGTGCAATGTGGTCATGCTCCTGCTGCAGTACACTGAAGGTGCTGTAGTAGTGCTGCTCTGTTTTATTTCTTCTGCTTTGGAAAATACCTGGAAATAGCTCTAGGCTTGGACATTGGGATATAGAGATGCCACAAATAACCGTGTTATTTGATGCTCCCTTAGAGATTGCCTTGGAACTTGCACTAATTTATGAGTCATGTGGCTTAACTGGTGCCTGTGGTTTGCGTTCAGAAGACTTGAGAAATAGCCTGGTCCCAAACTAGCCCTCTCCTGTGAGCGATGCGGTTTTGTACGGGGCGCGGGGCGCTGCTGCTGGGGCCGCTCTGGAGACGCCGCGTGTCCCCTTGCAGGTGAAAGCCAAGATCCACAGCCACATCAGCCGCCACCTGGAGTGCCTGCGCAGCCGCGAGGTCTGGCTCTTCGAGCAGGTCGATCTCATCCAGCAGCTCAAGGAGGAGGCCTTGCAGCAGCAAGCTCAGCAGCTCTACTGGGTAAGATGTGGGTACATTTACTGGGTAAATGCACTGGCATTTCCCAATACACTTCAGTTTTGCAAGTATTTTCTTATTTTACTCTTAGAGGCCAAAAAATTAACAGGTGTGTTGTCTTCCATGCAGTACTTGGGACAGTTCAATTGCCTTATCCATCAGCTGGAACACTCCTACAGCAACGAACTAGCAAACCAGATTTCAGTTTGCCTGGAGAGGTAAGTGTATTGTAGAGCATGTTAAATTCTTAAGTCAAAGTCAATCTTTATTTTTGGATTCTGAGTAATGGATGTAACTTGACTTTCACACATTTTCTTTCATGCATCCTTAAAGGTTCCTACAAATAAGATTTTTAAAGCACTCCGATTCCTCTCATCACTTCTTTTAATCTTAAAGTGAAAGAGCAAGACTATAATTAGGCGTGTAGATTATTTCAGATACTTTTTTAATGATAACTGAAGTGAGAAGGGAACATCTGTTTTTTCTTGCTGACTCTTTTCCTTTTTTGCTTGTGGATAGGCACCTCATGCTTGTGCAAGCATGAAAAGTTTTTCTTTAGTTAATTATTGCAAAGACTTGAGTTTGGAAGCCCTTTTATAAAATGCAGGTCTAATCCCTAAAACGTGGCAGGTGCGGAAGAAAGTAGTTTTCTTTTTCCATAACTACCATTTTGTTTTTTCAGACTGGAAAGTCTTACTCTTAAACCAGAAGAGTCTTCTGTCCTCAACTTCGAGGCTGATACATCTTACCTTCGCCAGGCTATTACCTCATTTGGCTCCATTAAAACCATGGTAAGCACCAAGGCTTGCCTGCATTACCAGGCTTCCCCCCCAAAAATCTTGTTTCAAAGCAGTAATATATTCTGAGTGATCTTTTTGTAGTTGAGTGTTGACTAGATAGGATGTATAAGTCATGTTGTTATAGCTGTAGAATACATATGTGGTTTGTTGATTTTTGCATTTGATTTGGTTCTGGCCAAGCTAGATCTGGTAATGTATACATTACTGTGATGTATTTTGGCAGAGACTGAACATGTGATGGCAGCATTCTTTGCTTCACCAGCAACTGTAAATTCATGTTAAGATATTATTGATGTCAGTAGTTGTAGATAGATAGATGGAAAGAACTGGATAGTTGCAGCCGTGCTTTTACCTCTGCTGTGTTTATAATTTATCTTACAAATTGGACAAAATTGACATTTTAATTGACTGCTACTTTACTTTACCTACAGCAAACCTCTGAGAGAGAGAATACTTCTCCCTGGTTTCATGGGCAGAATTGCACCCTAAAGAACTGTGAACAGGTAAGATCAAGACTTGGTGAAAGGAGAACTCACACACGATAAGTTGGCTTGATTGAGTAACAGCTTCTGCTTCTTTGTTAAGATGATGGTTGAAAATTAGTGGAGTCTTATGGGTAAAAGGAAAGTTACGGTGGGATTGCGCATATTGGAGCTGCGTGTTGTAGAAGTTGTCACTTCCCCTTCTTGCCCCTTGCTCTCAGAGGGGGCTGAAAGACATAAACCAGTATTTTGGTGCAGTGATTGAGAGTCGTACTGGTGTTCCTTCTTTGTTCCTTTCTGTCTTTTATGAGAAAGGGCTCAATGATTATCCTTTTGCTTTAGAAATATTAATGCATGCTGAGTGCCCATTTTGATGTTTACTATAGATTGCTTCAGCACGTAGGTATTTCTGTAACTGAAACCACTCTGTGTGTGCAGAAAACACTGTACGGGACCGTGGGTGCTTCACTGGCCGACTGGTTACTTGGAAGCAGATCCGTGGGCGTTCGCCCGGCTCCCTATGTCCCCAGCACCAACCTGGAGGACTGGGTGCTGCAGAAATGCGTGTGGGACCCCAAGCAGGTAGGCTCTTCCTGCCTCGCCTGAGCTGTCATAGAAAGGAAAGTGCAGCTGGGATATGGTGGGAGCTGCATCTTCTGCAGTTCTCTTTGCTTTGTGTCAGCTAACAGTTTTGCATTTATACTCAGTACACTCTGAACTACAGCTGTGCAAACAGTATTTGGACATTGTCTTTCAGCGTTATTAAACGCATTTCAATGTGTCTTTTACTAGGATTTACATTCGTCCAAAGTTTGTTATCTGGAGCAAGCGTGGGGAAATCTGAAAGATTTGGAGCACTGGCTCCTGAAGAACCAACAGCACGATGCTGCTCGGAAGGCGGATTCCCAGGGCCGCAAGGACTCCACCTCGACCTCCAGCTCCACCTTTTCCATTGAAAAGATTGAGGAACTGGAATCCTTTGGGCAGGAGGAGATGGATCTTTCTGACTGGCTGCTTACGCCTGATACAGAAGATGGAAATAGTGCTTCGGATGAGAAATGGAAGAACGAGTTTAAACCTTTTAAGGAAGAATTTAATATAAGTGATTGGCTCCCTAAAGCCGAAACGTGTACCAGCTGTCGTGGCAGCCAGGCCAAAGGTGTGGAAATCGAGAACCTGGGAAACCTGAAGTGCCTCAACGAGCATCTTGACGGGAAGAAGTTGCCCACCGCGTCGGCTGTTAACGCGTGGCTTCTTCAACACCCGCCGGCCCCGTTTAAGGTGGAAGAGGTGTGCAAAGCTAACGAGCTGTGTGCCAGCCTGTCCGAGTGCGTGTGCGACGAAAACTGTGGGAAGGAGGCCCTCTGCCAGTGGCTCCTGAGGAAGGACGCGAAGGATAAGAACGGGGTCCCGGTGAGCCAGAAGGCCCTTGGCAGCCCCGGGGAGGAGCCGCCCGCGCCCGCTGGCAGCCCCTGGCTTCACCCCTCGCAGCGGGGCGCAGAGGGACCCGTGTCCGCCGAGAAGGCGGATTATTCAGCAGAGGTAGCGGAGCCCCTGAAGGTGCTGCTCGAACGGCCGCTGGCGAGCTGGCTAGCCCAGCCTGAGCACAAAGCAGAACGTGCAGAAGAAAAGGCCAACAGCGAAAAGGCAGATAACAGCTTCAAGAGCCCTTTCCTAGACCTCTTGGCTCCGTTCCACCTCCCCCTGAACGTAAACAGCTGGGTGCTGACGTCCAACAACCTAGAAAACACTGACCCGCCTCCCGTGGAAGATAAATGGCTCCTGCGCAAGAAAGCACAAGTGAGTGTGTTCCCCGTGTCTCTAGGGCCCTGTCTGCAGCCAGGGGGCCGGGGTTTGTTTTACTGAACCTAAATTCTCAAATTTCGTAATTCAAATTCTTAACTCTCCTAGAGAATACCGAAAGATGATTTTTAGGTTTCTTTCCTCTTCTACTGTGTTCAGTGGTTTCTTAGTTATTTCAGCAATGAGGACAGCACTGAACATAAAGCACCAGTTAATTCTGAAGTCTAAATGGTCCCATTAAATGAACAAAATACTCATCTCAATCCTAATACTCAGTTTTTGTGAACACTTCACAGAATTTGAAGATGTACTGGAATATATTTAACTTCTATTTAGCTACCAGTAATAAAAGTGATTTTCTCTTTCAGGACTTCGGTCTTCCTACAGTTTGTGACCTTTTTGCCTGTATGAAACTGAGTGGAGATCAAGACAAATGGCTGTACCAGACTCCCTTGCAGGTAGGATGCAGAGCATGTGCTAGAACACCCCCACCTAAGCGTATTGTAACTGAAGGATGGGGGCAGCTAATTACCATCCTCTGAATTCTCCAAAGCCAGGGGCTAGCAGCCTTGCGGCTTCCTTATTAACATTTGTACCCGCTTGGACTGCTCTGTTTTTTTCATTATTTCTCCTCAATCCCGAGCTGGGGAGGGAGTTTGTTCTGAAGTAAATCACTATTAAACTGATCATCTCTTGGTACAGTCTTGGTAACTTCTACTGTAGCTAAGAAGTGCACTTAATGCCTGAATTTCTAGGCAGCTACTTGCTTATCTTAACAGTGCATTTACAGGTGGAGTCATGTTTTGCTCTCTGCCAGAATAACTTTATCACTGTTTATGAAATTAGTGGAAAGCACCCCTTTTGGCAAGAATACGTCAAAACCTAAAATAGAAGGGTCTTGGGTTCTGAAAAGTATCTTAGTATGATTTTTTTTTCCTGAGTGTGCCTTATATATGCCTTTATCCAAAAGTGTTGCTTTATCAGAGATCAGAGAATAACCCTATTTTGAATTTGCTTAGATGTGAAGAATCAGAAGCGTTGGAATTGTCCCATTCCTGATGATTATCGCGCATCCATGCTGAGTGACTGCAGCCAGATGAATTCTTGTGTTTGTGTTTGGACGTCTGCTTTTTCTTCCAAAATTATAACAAAAAGCAAAAATATTCATATGACAGAGTTATGGTGCAGAAAAATGCCTTTTTGTTATGATTAATTCTGAAATGTAGACCCACAGAGCATAAGCAAACTGACACAATGGAGGTGTTTGTAAATTCCTGTCTGTTATGGGACTGTGTGAATCCCCTCTATTGGGTTGCCACTTGAAAGCCAGTGCAGGTGTAACGCGAAATGTCTGGTGCTGCGAAACGTCCACCTTTGGCGTTGATTTACGAGTGTTGTTCTCTCAGCTGCTACAACTTTGTCGTGAGTTGGGGTCCGGCTTACTGGGGTGGTAAGGTGGCTTCGGCTGTAGTGGGAAGCAATTTCTTAATGGGCAGCTGCTAATTTAAAGATTTCATTTGCGTTTCCTATTGGCCTGTCTCCCCGCTGGGACTTTGAGAGAGATGTGAACTTATGGGACCTGACCTGGGGCAGGAGAACTGGTAACTTAGTTCTGTGTGAAAACTTCCTTGTAGATTTCTGAGCCGTTCAGAGAACGGAGCGGACTTGGGTCTGTTGGAGATAAAGAGCAAAGCTGGATTGCCAGGCTGTTCTGCGGGGTGGTTTTCATGCAGCAGTGGACTGAGAACCTGTGTCCCCCACTCTCAGCAGTATGAATTCCACTGAAGAAAGCTGTATGATGAAAGGTGTATGTTTCTGCTAGTTTTAGATAATTTATGACTAACTTGTTTTGACTAAGCCACTGTAACACAGGCATCCTAGTTAACATTTGGGGAACTGGGTGCCTTCTGTGCTATTTAATGGGAAAACACCACCATGGCAACCTGTGTGGATCCCCACTGTCTGATCTGCTTTAAAGCTCCTTAAGCTGTGGATTCCCTTAGAGCTGTGGGGGGAGTAACTGCTCCCGGTAGCAGAGGACGTGGTAACAGACACCTCCTTCCGTATGGGAGATTTTACGCCTGTAGGAAACAGTGCAGAGACACTAGATGGAAATGTGGCCCCTGCTTGCCAGCTTGCTTGGAAAACTGCAGTTTTTCAGCCTCTGGTGCAGCTTTTGGTCACCTACACCAGCTCCTCTTAACAGCTGTACAGAACAGCTTCCACTTCTTCCCATCTCCAAAGCTACCTGGAATGAAGTGGTTTCAGCTCTTCCCAGGATGATCAGTCAGCTCGAGCCATGATACCACTTTGCAGTAGGAGAGGGCTACACTGCGTGTCTGGAACTAGACCCCAAAGGACATCAGACCCAATCAGTGAACCACTCGACATTGCTGTCACTTGAATAGTTTGGGCTTTCTACTGAAAGCAGAAAGATATTTCTGAAGGTAATTTCTCCCCTCTCAGTGTGTGCTTGTTGCTGCATGGAGGACTCCACTGTCACTAACTCCAGTAATAGCCTCTTTTGATTAGCAAGTGAAGGTGATTGAAGTGTCACCCACCTCTAATTAATAGTAGTTGTCCATGTGTGCTCTCTGTTAGTCCATTATGAGCCTTTAAACCTTGGGGGTATGTATGTATTCATTTACTTGTTCAACTGACCTGTTATCACTAATTGATATTTATGTAAGACATTGATTAGTCTTTTCCATTAAAAAAAATTACTGCAACCGAAGTCTGTGGTATGTCGTGTTTGAAAGGCGACTGAAGCAAAGCGCGGAGGAAGCGTGTCCGGCAACACCTGCCGCGGCTGGGCCTGCGCTTGGGCCCCGCTGCTGCGTCGGGGGCTGCTCCCTTGGCTGCTGCCTGCACCTCCGCGGCCCCGGGACCCAAAGGGATCGTCGGATACGAGGCGCTGGCTGCCTCCCGCAGGTCGCTCCCACGGGGAATTCCTGGCACAGGCTCCCCTGCGACATAAACCAGCAGACGCAAAGCTCGTCTGTCTAACCCACCTGGCCTTTATTCAGGTGCTGTAGAAATACAGATTCAGACAAAATGACACATTTGTTTCTTATCCTTCTTGAATATTTGAGGATATGGTTATTTTAATAGGCCCTGTCCCTCCCTGCCTGTGATTGTAGCACCTCTCCTGGCTGGGCAGCTAAAGGTTGGTTCCTCTTGCTGGGGCTCTTCTGTTTTCTTGGATTTTGCATATTAGGCTCCATAGTCTGTCTCCTTTGAGTCCTTCTCAGTCCTTTAACCTGGCAGGAGTGACTTCACCCAACCTGCGTTACACAGAGAGAACCTTCCCCCGCGCAGCTGTGGCTGGCACCTTTCCTACCCCTGCGCCTTGGGTTTCACAGGGTTGTGTAAAAACACATTTAAGAAGAAAGAAAGAAAAGACTAGGGTTTGTGTTAGATGGAGATGTGCACATGGTATCTCCTATGAGTCACAGACAGGGAAAACAAGCCTTCCACCTACCCCAGAATGACTATTTGTGGTGTTACAAACAGCTGAGGAACTTCCCCAGACCGAGAAGATCAGCGGCCTGAGGCTCTGCACTGAGCCATGGGGAGTCCCCTCCTGAAGGCCAACTCCGCTTCCCTGCGTGCAGCCACCTCCCCCTCTTCCCATAGCAGGAAGGTGCTCGCCTTGAGGGGGAAGCAGCAGCTCCAGGCTACCTCCTGCCCTGGCCCTGATACCCTGCGGCAGGAGCGTGCCCGCTTCCTACCTGACCTCAGGAACCATGGGGAGGAGCAGGGAGGAAGGGCACGGGTGCCCTGCAAACCCCTTTCCTTTGCCACAGGTGGGTGAAGCCCGGGGCAGCCTTTACCAGACAGAAGTTACTGCTGCTTCAGGCCTTTCAAAGGAGGTGCCAGAGGAGAAGGGGGGCCCTTCCTGAGCATGTGCCCCAGGAAGGGCTCCTGGGCACGAGACTGCCCAGCACCTCCTGCTCCTGCTGCAAGTTTGGCCCCAGTGCAGGACTGGGGTGGGGAGGGGGGGATCTTGGTGCCAGAGACAGCCCAGGGGCACGCAAGGAACATTGAGGACAGTTGGAAACCACCAAAAAGGGTCTGGGATCCTGTGGTGGGGTGCGTGTTCACAATCCCACTGATGGCTGTGTCTGACCTTGTGCAGGGCAAGGCTAGTGGAGTTTCCCTAAAACTCCATTGAAAACACACAACCTCCCTAACTCAATCTAGACTATTCTGCACAACTGTAACAGTCCAAAAATCCAAAAAGGGCTCCTCCCTTGCCCCTTTTCCAGTCCGAGATCAGCCCTGGGATGCACAGGATAGGAGCACTGTGTCCTTTTTACTGCCCTAACATACACATCCCCCATGTGGTGACACTCAGCCTCTGCTCCAGCCAGGACACTGGAGAGTCCCACCATGGGACTAGAGATTTTTTTTTTTTCAACAAATTCCCCCAACCATAAGAAGTTTGATAAGCTGATGGGAAATCATAAAAGTGGTTTGCCTTTCTCAATTCCTTAGATTACACAAAAACTGCTTTACCAAGTGCAAGAGATGTTAGGACAGCCAGCAGCTCCAAGTCCATCACTGGCTGCTACATGACAGCAAGTTGCCACCAGTGTTGGCAAAACTAGGCGGCCTACGTAGCACCTCTGCTCCAGCCAGGACACTGGAGAGTCCCACCATGGGACTAGAGGTTTTTTTTTTTTTTTCAACAAATTCCCCCAACCATAAGAAGTTTGATAAGCTGATGGGAAATCATAAAAGTGGTTTGCCTTTCTCAATTCCTTAGATTACACAAAAACTGCTTTACCAAGTGCAAGAGATGTTAGGACAGCCAGCAGCTCCAAGTCCATCACTGGCTGCTACATGACAGCAAGTTGCCACCAGTGTTGGCAAAACTAGGCGGCCTACGTAGCACCACAGGCAGAATAAGCAGCTACAAGATGGCCAAGATCTCCCACACTCACATCCATGTACATCACCACAGGAGGACCAGCACGTGCTCACCAGACCCTATGGCTGCAGCTTCGTTTTACTTCCTTTTATTCCTGTATTACTGTCTCCTCCTTTCCTCAGTCTCTGTATACGCGTGAGCCGACTTAAAGCCTTTGTTCTAACTTACTTATTACTTGCCCCTTCCAACTCTCCTGTGCTCATCCTCCTCTGAAACTGTTCTCTGCCTTTGGCAACTTTCCTTGCTAAGACTCAGGACTTCCAAAGCCAAATCTAATCCAGGGACGGAGATTGGCGTCTCGCTGCTTCGCTGAGTCTGGCTGCTCCTCCAGGATCTTCCCAGGCTGCTTTTACCCAGCTAGGGGAGTGAGGCCACATGGGTCACAGCCTTTGGTAACAACCCTGCATCAACTGCTCAGGGGCTGTGGACCCAGCAAGTCCTAACAGGGAACATCAGGATGGGTCCTAGACCCCATACCTCCAACCCGCAGGAGGGACTTCTTGCTTTGGAGACTCCGGGCCATACAGCATGGTCGTACCTCAGCACGCTCAGGGCTGCACTGAACTCGGTACAGTTCATTCCGCTGTAGGCAGCCAGGCTACGAAGCAAGGCTTCTGGCAGCCTTGGAAGCAAAGCTATTTGAGACAAACGCACTCTGCTCTGCCCCGAGGCCGTTCCAGGAAACAGAGGGTACTGCGCAGCAGATGATAACGCACGAGGTTGTCCTAGCAGCCAGCCTGGCCTCGAGGTCGCAGCAACGCTCAGCTCAGGAGCTCGTTTCTACACTCTGCCCACTGAACCCAAAGGAAAGAGGCCATGGGATGATTGCGGCTCTCCCAGGTCAGTTAGGGGCAGAGAGCTCCCAGGTCAAACTTCCGCACCGAGAAAGCCTCTAGCAAAGTCAAACCCAACTGACGTGCTGCTCAGCTCAGACACATACGGCACGTGCCCTGGCAGCCAACGGTGCTCTCCCTCACGCTGAAGGGCAGCAGTGCAGGTGCACAGCGAGGGCGCCCAGCAAGAAGGGAGCCAAGGGCAGCCATGGGGAGGCCATGCGGGCACCTGCAGACATCCCACCTGATGGCACCGTGGGGCTGCTGCGCGGGTCACCTTGCAGCAGCCTGCGACTGGGACACAGATGCTCTGCTGGGACAGCCCGTGAAAAACGCATGTGAGGAGGCCCAGTGCTTACACCAGAACAGCAATGTACAACCTGCTAAAAAAAGCAGAACCTAAGTAAGGATTAACAGAAAACAGCACTTATAAAAGGGGTCAGAAAAAAACCTGTATTCCTTCCGTCACACAGATCCAATTAGGTACTGGCACGCAGCGCCTGCTCTGCACCGTGGCCAAGGCAGGCACACTGAATTCAGCTGCGGAGGCTCGTTAGCGAGAGCCCTCCCGCTCGCTATAACAAGCTCCTCTCAGAGGCCTCCTCCTCCCCAAGGAAGCAGCCTTGGGACAAAGCTCTGCTACTTCTCAGAGGAAGGTAAGTGCTGTCTTCTTCCCTTGGCTGCCTGTTATTTCTATGCTGTTGGGTACACTTGCAGGAGCTGTTTCAGCGGGAAGTGCCCAAGTAAAGCACCCCCTTGTTTTGCATTGTCACCTCCCAAACTCTGCATTTTTCTCTTTGCTTTCTCTCCTTTCGTGTTGTTTCAGACCTGTTTTACTGTTTATAGATTCTATATAAAATCTGGGGCCTAAGCTAGCACACAGTAACTCAAGCTATTGAATCAAATAACCGCTTATGGCTTAGTTTAGCTGCAAACGTTGCCCTACACGTGGTGTAACACTGTTGAAGAGTCAGAGTAATGGAGCAGAGTCCCCAGTTCTGTCTCGCCATCACCTCACAGCAGGATACAATCAGCCCATCAGTTCACTTCCTCCCACCCACCAATTCTCTCAGGATTGTATCACATCAGCCCTTCAAAACTAAGCAGTAAGAGAGCCTCTGCAGTTGGCAGTCTCTTGCCTCAGCAGCAGTAAGAACAGCAAAGCATGTGAAGACCTATAGCCTAAGTACCACCCTTTTTATTTGCCACCCCTTCCAGGAGCTTACCCTGTGCTGCAGGAATAGCAAGCCATGCCTGGCTCGCTCTGGGCGCTGCCTGCCGGGGTGGTGCACGGTGAAGGACTGCAGTGACCGGCTCTGTGGACACAAACTTTATTGCGCAGCAGTACATGCGACTGGGCGAGCCTGGTGGCGCAGCTCTGGGCCCGCGCGCCCTCGCCGCCCCGGCCTGGGCTGCCTGGGGAGGTCTCGGGGAGCCTGCGTCCTGCCAGGCGCTCTGCTTGCTTGCAGGTCCAATGCGCACTGCGGCCTCCAGCTCCCGGCTGGCAGGAAGGAAAGGGCCGGTCCAGCCCAGCGGTGTCAGGAGGTTGCTCCCAGCATGATAGTTTCCTTCAGTTTCGCACGAGTTGTCAATAAAATAGGAAGGGGCACCAGACAGATGTCAGCCGATTGCCTTGGTGACGGTGGAGCGTGTCCTCTGCCCAGCGCCGGGGCCCTGCTCAGAGGGACTGCCGCGCCAGGGAGCCCCTCATGTGCTCCCAGTTGTTGTAGAGAGCGTAGAGGCCTGTGAGGGTCAGACCCACGATGCCGCCTCGTGCTACCCCACGCACTCCACCTGTGGAGAGGGGAGGGGAAAGGGGAAAGATTAAGGGCCTATTAGCTTACATACAGGGAAACAGCCAACTGCAGCAACTCCACGAGCTGTTGAAATCCACAAGCATCTTAGGTACAACACAATTTTGCTTTTGTGAAGAACCTTCTGGACAGGATACCTGGGGGAGTTTTACAGGCCCTGCAAATGTACTGCCAGATTCTGAAACATGGGTTGCTCCTGCTCCTGACTCTGGTTTGGCTGAGGTGCCTCTCAAACAATTCTAACACCACTGCCTTAAATCACTACAGAACATGGGAAGCAAGCATGGCTTTTCCTAACTTCTACTTTACCCACTTTTTTTTTCCCTATCCTCATAACAGATGCTCATATGCAGATACAATCTTTCCTGTTTTGAGTCTCAAATCTAGAATTTCAATTGAAGAGTAATAATCGTGTTTGTCAGTTATAGCAGTTGCTTGGGAGGACGAGAAAGGGCAGGGTGGAAGTAAGTGATCACAAAGCAGCTGATGTGGACGTGATCTGGGGCACCCAAGCTTCATGAGGGCCAGTGCATAGAACTGACCACTGCTTTCAGGTCTGGGGAATTTCTGAAGAAAAAGGGAAAGTAGATGAAAGGGAAATTAACAAGCATCCACTTTTTTAAAAAACACTGGTATTAATATTCCAAATTATCTTGTCAATCATGACCAAAACCTAATTGCACACAATAAAATCAACAGTTTCAGAAGAAAAAGGCTTAATTTTCAGACAGACTTTCACGAGTGGTTGTGCAGGTAAACCCACTTGTTGGCTGCTACCAGCACAGCTGATTGGAGCGAGGAGTCAGATGGCATCTCCATGCTCCACTCCCTGTGTCAAGGCTGGGATGCAGAGCAGAGGAAGAGACTTCTGCCATGCTGCTTTTACTGACCAGCAGATCACTCTTGTTCCTTCTCAGTAGTTTAGACTGTCTTGGAAACATTCCCAGAATACAGCATACGTGCAGGAACACCTGAACCCATGAGCCTCAACATGTAGGAAAGCTTCACTAAGTTTGATACTTCAATGTTTATCAATCCCAAATGGAGCACTTTGATAATGTGTACGGAATACAGAACAGGGCCATTTCCAGATAAAGCCTGCCTGCTTTAGTAGTGAAACTGACTGTGCAATTTGAGTTGCTCAGACTTGAAAGGAAACGCATCCTGCTAATCTGGGCATGTGGTGGTTATCTCTTCATTGTGGGCCATAAAGCCTTCGCCCTGGACCGCGTTCAGGCCTGTACAGGGTGAGGAGCTGCTGGCGCCAGCTAGCCTGGGACGGGTACGTGTGCTGCCAGCCTAAGCAGAACCTCCTGGGTGCTGCTTGCTTATACTGCCCAGGCATGTGCTGAAAGCAGGAAGCTGTAGAGGGGTTAGCAGAAGTTGGACTAGCCCTATGGGTCATTTCTCACAGCAGCTGGATGTGGTACTAGAGGTTGTGTCTGACTCTTCTTTCCAGAACCTTTGCAGTTGGACTCTGATGGTTTGAGGGCCCTTCCTGGCAAAAGGGCTAGCCAGATCTCCAGAAAGCCTCCCTGAGAGCCTCTCCTGCTGTAGCTGCAGAGAACCTAACAGCTCTCAGCAAAGCTCTGAACAGTAATGAAAGCCTTAGCTCTCGTCTAGAGGCCTTACCAGGGTCTAGGAACCTGAATGCACACCTCTGTTTTTGATAATCCTGAATTTGTGGCAAACATTTCTTTCCCCCTCCACATGAAGAGCTTGCAGCTGGGTACACAGAACTGTTCTGCAGCAACCAGCTTCTGGCCAAAAGCTGTAAGTGAAATTTAAAGGACACTTTGTGCAAAACAAATATGTGAGAGAATCAATAAAACCTCCACCTCTTCACTACTTCTGGGAAAATGAATACAACCTTAGATTTATTTATTTATTTATTTATTTATTCCCCCTACCTCTGCCCTTTACCTTAGGAGTTCATAGGAGAAATGGCAAAAGAGGGCTCTTACCCAGGCCGGTACACAGGGAAATGCAAGAAAGTTGGAACTCCCTCATAGAGCACAAGGTAGGACAGAGCTGTGACTATCCTGTAGTCTTTCCTCCCTCCCAAGTTCAAATCTTCTGCCCATTAAGCACCTATTCTTCTCATGGAAAACAGACTGCGAGCTGACCGAGTCTGGTTTTGGCTTCTGGGAAGCTTTGATGGTACAAGAAAAACACTTTCTCTAATTTGGATAGCTAAGCTGCCTTGCAAGCACCAACCATGGCAGCCTGTAGGTCTGCATGCAGCTAAGGGTCACCTCAGTGGAAGTTCTTCATTAACTGGGGGTGCACCTGTGCAGTTGCTCTGGGGGCACTGCTCAGCAAGCTGGGAAAAACGCCCAGAAGAAAATGCGTAACAGTTTCTTAGCAGGTTCACTATGCTTCTGCCACAAACATTTAAACATTTACCAGTAATTTAGTTTTAGTTGTAATGTCTGTCTCAAAATCCACAGTATTTTTTAAAAGCTTTTCTTTTTCCTATCTGGCTAGCAAGTATTTGAGTCAACACCTCTGGGTCTGTGCAGGCATCCTAGAGCAGTGCAAGGCAGAGCACAGCCCAGCTGCTGGGCAGGAAGTGTTAAGGTCTCTGTGGAGACGAGTTGTTAAAATTCCCCCCTCCCATGCCAGCTGTGTTTGCACGATAGACAAGTTCTCACCTCTCCTCTGCAATCACCCTCTGCAAGCCTGAGATACCAAGTCTGCCTCGGCAAAGCCTGCTAGAAGCATGGCTGGAAGCACCTTGGCTTGCATGTCAGGACAAGATAACTCTAAGTGCTAGCTGACAGACACTTCTGGAAGCAGGTAGTTGAACATCAGCCAACTTGCAAGATAGCTGAGAAGCTGCCATGGGTTTCTAAAGATGCCTCTGATGCTCTCTAAATGAGAACTTTTCTTAGGTTTAAGACGATGCAGCCTTTCACCATAGAGTATTCTCCCTCCCCTATGCATTTAAAATCTGCTTTTTTAAATGCTGTGCAAAGACCCAGAGCAATCCAGCAATCCAACTTTGTACAGTTTGATGCATGGCCTGCTCACAAATACTGCATTTCACCCACTTTTATAGTAGGGAAAACTATAATCAACATTGCACAACAGGAGGGAACATATCCAGTTTAAGACTTTAACGCCTCTATTAAATAGCTAAGATTTTCACCTCCTCAGACCTTAGACCTCCTAGGAAATGTTCTTAAAAGCAAGAACTATCCAATGGTGAACACTAGGAGCAACACCTTAATTGGAAGCCCAGACTCCTATATTTATGCCGAACAAAAGTTAGTTTTCTGGCTTTGGTCTCTATCTCTGAACAAAAGTGGAACAGTTAATTTGTGATTAGTTTTCTGGCTTTGGTCTCTATCTCAGATGTTTAGAATTCAAACCTTTTTTATTTTTTTTTATATTTTTTTCTCCTTTTGGGCTTCCATAAGCTATTTTTAAATGGTTCACAAGGCTTAACTTTTCTGACATAACAAAGCAACCTCAGTCTGCTCCAGCTTTAAGCAGAGCTCTGTGACCATCTGAACCACAGGGCATAGCTGTTTGGTGGGTATTTGTGGGTGGCCCTATGATAGGAGAAGATTCTAGAAATTTCTTCCTGCTGCCCTATGGGATTTGTGTGAAGTCTCATAAGTGTGGGCTAAGTCTGTGGATACAGTAATTACTGTACTGAAAATGTGACTTTTTTGCAACAGGAAACACTAACCAAACATGTTTCCTTTTCAAACTGCTGCAACTAAGACAGCTGTGGGTTAAAATACAGAAGCAACAGCCTGAAATAGGGAAGTTTTCCTACAATAACTAGAGAGATGGCTACATTAGAAAAAGCGGAAGAATTTACATTTTCGCTTAGAAGCTGATAGGTACTAAAACTGATAGGGTTACTCTGCATGTATTAAATTACTCTTCTCCCACTGAGTGCAAACAGCAGCAGCCTGCAGTTCCCAGCAGTGGCAGCACGAACCCTGCGGCTGGGTAATGCAGGGAGAGCGGAGACCTGTTTCTGCTCTGGGACTGGGCAGAAGGCAGCACCACACTCATGTTCCCTGTTTATTCGTAGAGGTTAGCTCTTGAATAACAAAGACAGCCTCAACAAGTTCCTTCATGCAAGATCTTATTCTCGTCTTATTCTATTCTTCTAGAATATGGGATCTCATATTCTACTCCTTGTTTCAGATCTTAAGCAAAACCCTTTTGACAAACTTGTGTTTGAGCAATCAGCCTGTAGGCTTGCTTTCATACTAAAAGGAGGTTTTAACAGAGGTTCCAATTTTCTGAAGGCCTAATGGGCTCCATGCTCGCAGCTCAGAAGCAAATTCTTTAGTTAATTTTCCTGCAGGGCTGTAACTGTAGCCATCTGTAAATGTTTTCCTGTCATCCCAGGAAAACAACAAAACATTTGTACCAAAAGAAAATGTACATGAGTATAAAGGAAAGAGACTATTACAGTTCCAAATGTACTTAGTTAACTCCGTTGCCCTGTGCTCCTGCCCACTGAAGGTCACCAAACTTATCTTTGACTCTGGTCCAATTTTATTGCTAGTAATGGAAGATTTAGCTCATAGTTTGTAATGCCCTGTCTTTAGGGCTGTGTTCTGAGGTCTCAGAAGGGTAACTTTCAGTTATCCTTGGCATGTCTCCCTTCTCTTCAGACACATGCCTTCATGCACCATGTTCTGTAACACTGACTGTACAAGCAGCATGAGATGGTCTATCTAGCGTCAGGTTCCTATCGCGCTGCAGTACAGTAAAACAAGTGGATCCAGCTTGTCCTAAGCATTAGTTCACTCTTGTTTTTATCCCCCTAACTTCCAAAGGGAAAAAAAGGGAGAGAACACCTATAATGTTCTATAATATGAGCTAAAGGTCGTTTAAATTTCTGCCTAAGGAATTCATTTTCAAGAGGGCCAATAAACAAGATATTAATGCCTGTGACGCTGAGGCAGTCCAAAGTCCCACCAAGCTCAGTATCTTTTTCCTGACTGATCAACAGCATATGCTTCCCGAGGTCGGTAAAGTTCTTATCCAGCTATATCCTTCAAGATATGATGACTGGAATGGTGTACGCACTTACATGATAGAAGGGTGCGGGAGTGACAGAGTGTACAGTGACTATCAGCTTCTGATTTTGCTCTTTTCTAACACTGTTTGCCTCCTTAACCACTGCTGCTTTCAGAGATGAATGCAGTTATGCCAAAGTTGTTGGATTTGAAATGGAGGATGTAGGAAAAAGTATGTGAGAAGGGGCTAAATACTTGTTTGCTTTAAGATTTGTGCTAGTATTTGTGTTTTGTATCATATATCATAATAAAACTTAGCATAGTAGATTTTAATTTCTGCCTTTTTTGAAGTTGAAGAATACATAACTTCTTTACTAACTGGAAAATCCATCCTAGTGGAATTAGGAAGTCATATTTCATTTTAGTGGAAATGGAATAGTTTTGATCAAGTCCAAGTTTGTTTTGTTTTTTAAATACAAGGAGTTTTGCTTGAGTGTATGGTTTCTGAAAACAAAGGATAAATGCTCTTTTCTTAGAAATTGACTCTACTTTTGGAGACTCACTGGGAGCCAAAGGAGGAGAACTAGTCTCTCTAGCATAGCAATAAGGATAGTTATAAGGGCAGTTAGAAGATAGCTTCTATCTGGGAAAACTAAACAAATTAAGTTCTGTTTGATAGCTCAGAGCATTATTGCAACATTTCTAATTCATAAGCCACTGGCAAAGGAACAAAAAGAGATTTTTTTTTTATTATTTTTAAATCCTACTCTTAACTGCTATCCAGAACATCCAGGTTAAATTGTGAATTCAAAATGCAGCTTGCACGAAGTTGAAAGTCTAGCTTACTGAGTTAACACTGTGCTTTGATTGCTATGTTTGACTAGACACCAGTAAGTAATCCCGGCAGTAAACTCCTCCTCAAGCAAATATGAAAGCTTTAGATCCCTTTGGATAAGAGATCAGCCAGTGTACTGTTTTGAAGCTTCTCCAGTTACTATTCTGCTTGCATTCTAAGCCTTACAGAATTCTGAAGAAGATTGTATGGCACAGCTTCATTTATAATGGCAAACTAAGTCTCCTGCTTACTGCTTGGAGGATCATCGGAAGACTTAACTGCTTTAGTCACATACAGCAAAGAATTTTCAGAATTTTCACTGACTAAGGCCACTCCCAATGGGGCCTTACACAGGAGGGTGGTACTTCCAGCTCTCACATGCAGATTTTTTTTTTTTAAAGCTCTTTCATCCTCGCACAAGCTGTGTGCTAAGTAGCCTGAAGAACTGCTTGCAATCCAAGGCATTAGAGTGTTGGAGCTTCGGAAAGTCTCTTGGGTCTAACTGCTAGCATTTTAGCAATGATCAATACCTCTACAAGGACGAAATGTAAAAACTGGAATTTGTTTAGATAACAAATCTCATCACCCTTCAACAGCACTGTCTGTACCACATCTGTATTCACCCTTGGTGGATTTATAGAACAGACTTGCTTTGAAATGGGGCGTGCGTGGGAATTGCCAGCCATTGCTGAAGAGTGGGGGTTCAGCACAAAAATGTCTTTGCCAGCCTTTATATACTCATTTTCAAAATGCCCTAGCATTCCCTGTAATGTGGAAAAAACTACAAATTTAATATATATCCCAGACATGTGCCAATCATTTGCATTAAATTAAAAGCACTCTCCCCACTGTCATTCCCCCCCTCCTCCATTATCTGTTGATGCTGGCAAAAGATAACGTTTTTACAGGGAAGATTTTACTGGAGAGAATTAGGAAGGGCATTCTGGCAAAAGGTGACAGGAAAAGGTGATATAAACAGTGGAGACAAAGCAAGAAGGAAAGACAGCAAGGGGGAGACTTCTCCTAAGTGTAAGACAGTTCTGAATGATAACTTCCTACAGAACACATTGAACTCCTATCCTGCTGTCCTAACCAGCTGTTTGCTTGCAATGTGACATACCAGTTACAAAATCCTAAATAAGTAACTGATTACATGAGATCTATATGGCCTTGCAAGGTTGAGCAGTTATGACGCTGCAAAAGCCGATTAATTCTTGTTTCAGTTGCTCAAGACCAACAAGAAAATGAGGCTTCTCAACTTGTTTTGCCCCCATATATAAAGCTGACCATATATAAAGCCAGACACTGAGGCTCAGTTAGTCATGTAAAAATCACACTGGTTAGTTCTAGTATTTGTGCTGTAAAATACAGGTGAATCACATAGCCAAACCTTTATTAAGGTCCTTGAAACTCATAAAATACTCCCCCCTGCCCCTCACCACACTGTGGTAGGTAGTACTTCTCTAATTATGGCCTCCAATGTTCAGCCTGTCAAACCTACTAACAGAAGTTCTGCTGATGGAGGTCAAACTCTTTCTTCTGTAAACAATTTGATACTCAGCAACAAACTAACCTCAAATCCATGTTGTTCTCAAATAACCTTTTGTTGGTTTTGATCGTTATGCAAAGACTTGGCAGTTTCACAAACAGTTATGTATATATATATCTTTAAAAAGAAATTAATTTCCTTTTAGATATTCTAATGATATGGATTTATAAAACTAATCTTTTCTCTTTTTTTTTTGGAGGGGGGAATTTATGTTAAATTTGAACTTCTGATTTTTTTACTTTATTGAAAGCAATTTCTAAACCATTATTTAGAAAATGTTTTTCATAAACCATATTTAGGATCCTAGATGGTTTCATATATGCTTAGAGAAGGTCAAAATCTTGCTTCTTCTAATCTTTCTCATTACTGTTGCTTAACTTCAAAATTAGATGGCATCAATTTATTTTTCCTTTTTCTGGGGGGTACAAATAAATCTAGCAGGTAACTGAGGCCTAATAGTTTAATACTCCCAAACAGCATACTGTTTTCCTAAAAACTACAGCTACATAAGGGAAACTTGTGCTTTAAAAAAAAATGTATTTATACATTTATAGACAAATTCAACTGGTTTCTTTCAGGCTTGCATAGGAATAATAACAGTGATGCAAGCTGAACTGTCTGTTACTTTAAATCTGAGCAAACATTTAAGTGCTCAGTTAATATACCCAATCCAGTTTATGCTTAGTGATATTTTTCAGATATAGCAAGAATTAGAAACAGTCTCTCAAGTCCACTAGTCTATGCAGGCAAACTGAATTAACTTCTGAAAGGAAGAGAGAGGAAAAGGAACACACAGCACATAGGCTGATTGCTACAAATGAAACTTTTTTTTTTTTTTCCCCACTGTAATTTTCAGAGCAGGGATGCATTTAGAAAAAGAACTGACTTTCTAATAGCTCGGATAAAGGACAAAAGGGACACTCTACCGGTGCTTTTGTACAGCATTCCTGTCATAGTTCCAGCAGCTATGGTATTCAGGTCATCTTCTGCACCTCGTGTTTTTTCAATGACTACTCCAAATGCACTATAAAGCAGAGCTGGAAAAGAAAAGAAACATTGAAAAATTAAACCAAACTAACTCCCATCCTCTGCAAAATAAGGCTTAAACTTCAGACTCTGTTTGACTATTTAGGCTATGCTTCTAAAGTATATACTTTTTCTTAAAGGGGGAAAAGCTTCTTTTTTTTTTTTCCCCTTCTCCAACCCTACTTTAATTTTACAGATAACATTTAATTTTCCAGTCAGGGTCTGGTAATAAAATAACATTTTTAATGACGCTGGGTTGACAGGGCAACTCCACCTCTGCCTGCATGCAAAACCTTTGTCCTGAGCCCTAGAGAGCTTTGGGAACTGATAGCGAATGGATTAGAGAAGTGTGTAGGCTTTTAGCAGGGATGCACATACAAATCATGCCTTTTGAAGGGGACTCTCCTGCCCACCAAGCACTGTGATACAGTCAAGTATTAAATCTTTCATGCTGACAAAGAACAGGAGAGTATGTCCTTTCATCATAGCAGAAAAATACACTCTATGACTTCATTCTTTCTCTGTTCTTCCAGAATAAGAAACACTTCTGTTAAAAATCATGTTAATTCCTTTATAAGCAAGCATATTACAGTCAATGGGAGGAAAAGTAGCATCTTTCTCCACTCAACATAAGTAAGGATGTTTTTACCTGGTCTTAGTACATGTAGTATTACAATGAGAAGGATGAGTTTTATTCAACAAAATATTTTGAAATACTTTAACACAGTTGTTGCTATCCTTCTTTAAAAATAGAATGACAAAAATTGACAGCAGTGACAAAGAAATCCGAGTGACAGAAGCACTTGCACAAGTGAACTGAAATGCAAAATACCTCACCTCCTTGCAAGGAACTTTTCTGGTAATTTCTGGGGCAATATCAGCTCCTAAAATACTACATTCTGTTTAAAGCTATGTTTGAGAGGTCACATTTTAAAAGAAAAAACAATAATTTGTTAATGGAACACACCTACAAACATTTTTGAGTAATCTTTCTTCAAATACAGCTGGAAAAATATGTTAATGTTTCACTTACCCTGGAACCTTGAACTGCAGTGTGCCAACACTTCTGTTTTCAGGCTTGTTTTGATCTGTTTTTGTTTTTTTCTCCAAAATTTACAGTACAAAAAATATAGGCAATATACACCCCAACATGTGAATGGCTATACTCTATGTAGTTCAGGATCCCAGCTCTGACCACTGCCTCTACACAAGGCATCAAAAGTGGATGTCTGGACTAAACAGCAAACTAATCTATTTTCTATCTATTCCAAAATAATCTTTTTGCATTAGTTTTAGATTTCTTCCTTCACAGTAACTGAGCATCTTGTGCTTTTAAGGCTAAAGAAAAACAAACTTGTATTCTCTAGTGCACCAGTTATTTCACAGATATTTATGAAGTCCTCTAGAGTCACCTTTGAGGTAGATGGTGGGATTTTTTCCAAAGCTTATCTCATTGAAAAGTTTTTTTTATTCTTGTACATCAGACTCTTGATCATTTTCTTTGTTCTTTGTCTAATCTGTCAACATACTACATTAAGTTGTTTTCTAATGTATACTAAATTGTTTTCTAATTACATGCCTCCAGGTACCTGTGCTTAAACTTTTCTGAGTGTCATTAATTTTTTTCTAATGCTTACTTGATATTTCTTTATGATCCAAAGGAAAAAAGTTGCAGATTTTTTCCTAGCAGATTTGATTATGAAAATTTTGAAGGATATTCTTGCTCTTTAAAAAGGTCTATCTGTATGAATTAAACTTACTCTATAATATAAAATAGCAAGTTTACTTACCCAGAGATCCCAGTGTGTTAGCCCATAATGCTCCTTGCCTTGTCACCATATTTAGAATTCTATAAGATAGTTTAAAATATATTAAAAGCTTTAGTTCTCTGCATTTACATTGAGGTAGAGTCATAAGCTGCAAAATTGAGGTTTATTGAGGCTTAAAGTGTTTATTCTGTGCATTTGCTTTATCAATTAAAATGGAGTAACTACGCAAAGAAACAATCAAAGCTACATAGAACTGGAAGAAAATGCACAGATACTGGTAATATGTGATCTGCTCTACTATGCCTATTACAAACAGCAATGTGTGCAATGTTGGTAAATATTTAGCCCTGTCAAGATTTAAGAAAATCTTCCTCTTTTCCAGTTTAACTGGTACTACTAAGAATTAATTCTCTCCCTTAACATGACTTTCCAGTAACCTAGTCAATAAAACTTCTTCTTACAGTGACTGTATGTATTTATCCAGACTGACTGATACACTTAGACTGACTTCAGGGGCTGTGAGAGCTCCAGGAAAGCTAGAGCCCTCCCCTAGCAGGTGTGACTGATGGAGTCAGTGACCATGTTTGAGGGAGCACCTTGCGGCCTGAAAAAATGGGATGGGAACCAAAGCTTGAACAAAAGCATGTCAGGGAGAAAAGAGGCAGGCTTTCACATCTGTTTCTCCAGGGCGGCACACGCAACAAGAGCAAAGAGCACTGAGTATTTCTGCATGTATGCTTCCGGACTAGCACTAAAGAGGTGTAGCATATCCTTAGTACGCTCTCACAGAAGCATAATAGTACTTCCTTCTGGCATCAGCCGTCTCCAGAACGGTGACAACAACAGCCAGAAGAAATGACTGACGTTTATCTCCCAGCAGTGTAACACTATCACAGGCATGGTACTGCCCTGGACAGCTGACTACCACTGGGAATAGCTGCTCATTTAATGCAAAGTGTTGCATGTTATATTCTCATTAGGGTTCATTTCCTGTTACTTTTCCTTTTTTTTTTTTTTCTCTTATTTTTTGTTTTATTTTCACTAGGAGATAAGCCATTACACAGTATGGGTAGGTAATGAACTAAATGCTTATGGAAAAATTCAGTCTCAAATGTGGGGGGAGGGGAGAAAGAGGGAAAAACAAGAAGCTAGTGTACTAGTTAACTTCCATCCTGTTTCCCTCCCCCTGTCGATTTTGTTAACATTAATTCAGTTCTGAACTGATGAGAAAGTTTGTAATTTTAATAATTACAATGTGAGATATTTGACAATGGAAATATTAATAGCAAAATTCCAGGTCAGAAAAAAATCTCAATATACATAAAAATAGTCAAGGAAAATCTAGACAGGCATCTTTTTTCCCTATCTGATAAGGAAAACATGGAACTTAACATGCCATTTCAAGGTGATGACCTTCAATGTGCCTTCTCCCTTGAATGGTAAGAACTAACTGTGTCCTGACTGCCACCTGCTGGGCTTCACTCATCAGAGCTTGACAAAATGTTTTTGTAGGACTTCGCTCATTTCATGTTCATAAAATACACCTTTCTTCATTTAGAAGATTATGGAAGAGTCATAGTTATAGTGAGGAGTTTTTAATTTTTAACTGCATTTTTAACTGTAGAGATGGGTAAAGAAATGGAAGAGGAACATAAAAACGGCATTTAAAAAGGAGCAGAGCCACTCCAAACAGTACCAATCAATATTAACGTCCTCTAATATTCCCTTCTTCCAAAGCACTGTGAAAGAGTGAAAATGTTTTCCCTCAGTTATCTCACTCCTCTAGGTTCCTATGTCCCCCTCACAGGTAACGAATTTTTCCTATTGTTATGTTTAATCAACTGATACTTTATAATTTTAGAAGCAGAAGCATTCTGCATTAAAAAAATGTTCTTTACTGGATTCTTTCAGATATTCAGATGCAGTGACAACATGGGAATGCTCTGAGTGTTTGTGGAAGCCATAATCAAGAAAAACTTGCACCATCCAACACTTGCTAGCACACACCTAGGTTGTCCCTAATGCAAAATTGGGCAGGCCCAGCTTCTACATTTTAATCTCTTTCAGTTTTGGAAAGGTCAGGAGTTCTATGAGAACTTACTCTAGGGAAAGCGAAAGCAAAACATGCCTCAAAATGGGCATTTTGGGAATATTTCAATGTCCAAAAAAAATATTAACTTTGAAGCAGATTTCTAGCAAATATCAAAGAAACAGTTACTTTCTCAAATATTTAAGGTAAGTCAGAGGAGATACTGATTATTATCCCTCACTGAAACGGAACTATGTAACTAATGTGTGTATTTTTGAGATTAAGTACTTACTGTACATTTCTAGGTTTTGACCATGCCATATTCTGTGTCTCCTTCAAGCCAAGCCGCAAGCCATTCAGTGCACCAAATGCTGCTCCTAGTTAGAATAACATTAGTTTAGTACTAAAAAATAGCTACTAGAAGCAGAGAGGATATTGAAGGTGTTCAGACTGAAGCAATTTATCTGGATCTATAGATGAACACTGAATAACAAGACACTTAAGATCTTGTTAATTAGTTTGGTACATTAGTACTACCTGGATAATTGGCAAAAAAAATACTACAGCTTACCTGTCATACAACATCCTCCAATGGTAAAAAAGGCCAATTCAAATCTGCCCCGTGTTTTGTTGGCTCCTGTGGGCAGGATAAACTCATCTGTATCCTGGAAAAAGATCAATATGATAAGCTTGTATTTTCCATGTATGCCCCTTTCAAAATATAAGTTGCATTTAAAATTATTAATCTTTCATTCATAAAATGAACTGAAGGAAAAACTGAACCAAACAGTGTTTCTAGATAACTGGTATCTACATTCAAGGGAAGAGCCCACCTATGTATGTTAATGAGAACAAAGGAAGATCTTCAAAAAACATCTGGCTGTCCTAACTTTCCAAAAATGAAATCAGACAGTCAAGGAACTCATACTGTCATTTATTTAACAAATGTTTGCTTAATTAAACTTTATAATTTGAAGCTGGCAATACAGGGCTAACTGCTCTTTAGGGACCCTCCTGTTGTCTGATTACACAGCATTGTTTTTCCTTGAGAAACCTATGGTAATGCATTAAGATTTTCTCACTACTTGGAAACTAAAGGAAAATTAAGTAATTCACTGCACTAAGTGACCTATTTTGAAGATATGACAAAACAAATAATTTATTTATAATTTATGACCACCACTGGTTTTGAATGTGAAATATGAAGTTGGTAATTTGGTTATATTTGTGCATTCTTCTACAGGAATAGACTTGTGTTCTTGTAGACAGTCTAAAAAGAAGAATATCAAGAGCAGATGGATGATAACTAGCATATGTATAGAAATAAGGTCAACTAAAGCATACTTTTTTTTAGATTTTGCTGAGATGTACGTATGCTCATAAGGTGCCCAAGAAGTAAGATCTCTTTTTATGCTTCTGTGCTTTCCACAATCACACTTGTAGTTTATTCACTATATAAATAGTACATCATTAGAACAAGCACAGTCTCAACTGCATTCTGAACCTTTTTCTTAGTCCATACTTGACACTTACATTATCCAGAGTAGCAATTATTTAAGGTGGAAGACAGTATAGATGATTTGTGTATATATATGTATATATTTGGCTTCTAATTTTTTTAATAACATGAATAAACTGAACCTGTAATATTGTTCCCTGTAGCTGGATATTTGGAGAAATTGTGTGATTTATTAATTAGGAGTTTATTACTAGTTCCTCCTAGTAAGACTCATGCTTATTACTAGTGCTAGTCTGTGTCACTACTGGCACTGTGTTACTAGACTGTAAACATTAAGGGTGACTCTCCTAGGCAGGAGGGTGCAGGAGGGCTGTTCTGCCAGAAACAAGGGATCTCCATCCCTCCACAGATACTTTAAGACACAAAGCAAATTCTAAAGCTAATAATTTAGACTCTTGTATTTTGAAATCTTGCATTAAAAAATTCTCCACTAATTTTTAGAACAAAGTGATTGAGATTGGAATGGACCTCTGGAGATAATCTAGTCTAATCTAGTCCAAGCCCCTGCTCAAAGTAGGGTCGTTTCCAGGTAGGTTTTGAGCATCTCCAAAAATGGAGAATCTGGGCAACCTGGTCCAATATCTGACAGTATGAACGGGGGGGGACAAAACATGTTTCTCATAAATAAAGGGAAATTCAATTGAATGTACTTCAGTGACAAATGGCAAGAGCATACAACACAGGCTGTTCTGCTACCTATTGCTGTAACACTAGAGATTATTTTTAGATCTATTTTGTAAGTTATGACACTAAGTTATGACATTAATGCCAGAAAGTTAATTTCTTTTAAAGCCCCTTTTATTTTAAAGCTGTTAGTATACAGAAACTTTGCCCCCAAAATTCTGGTCTCATACCATGTTGTTTCCAGATATACTGTGCTATCGACATGAGACAATGTTAAATGGCATTTTGGGAAGAGATCTATATAATCACTAGGCCTTTTTTCCCCACTACTCAAAGACAGCAGGTTAGAAAACTGTGCTAGTGAATCCACCTCAGACAGGTGCGTATCCCTTGTTTACTACCTTTAGAGGAATTTCATATTGTATTTTTGACCACAACAGCTTATAGTGGAAAAACAATTTTTAAAAAATTTCCTGCAGTTGCATTCACAGCTTTCTATTGGCAAATGTGGTGACAAAAAAAACAAAATGAAACAAAAGGCTCAGATTAGCAAATACTATATAATTGATTACTTTCGGTGCTACTCCAGCAAAATTTAATGGTCACAGATAATCATAGAATCCTTAAGGTTGGAAGGGACCTCTAGGGATCATCTAGTCCAACCCCCCTGCACACGCAGGGTCACCTAAGGCACGTGGCACAGGACTGCGTCCAAGCGGGCCTTGAAGATCTCCAAAGAAGGAGACTCCACAACCTCTCTGGGCAGCCTGTTCCACTGCTCTGTCACCCTCACTGCTTGTGAAAGCCATATACACATAATAAGTAAATGAAATCATTAAGACATGTTTCCTTATTGACTAAACTTAAACTTTTTTGGCTATGCTTAATGTAATTAAAAAAAAAATGGAAAACACAGGGTTTTCCTTAATGTTTCCTCATTTGTCTCAAGACTGCCTATCACAGATTGGTTGAGGTTGGCCAGTCCAAGTCCCCTCTTCAAGCAGGGTCACCTAGAGCTCACTGCCCAGGATTGTGTCCAGGTGGCTTTTGAATATCTTCCAGAAGCTCCATAACCTCTATGGGCAACCTGTTCCAGTGCTCTACAGGCCATTGTATGTTAACTAAATACTATGCTGTGTTAAGTACCCAAGCCACATTATTCTGTAGATAAAAACTGAAAGATTTATCTCTTAACAATCTCACTTTGGCTATGAAATGTGATGGGGGAAACTGATGGAGAATTAGAGGAATTTGCAGCCACTGTGGGAACAGCACATGTCTGTGTCACCCCTTTTGTGAACTGTCCAACTCATGACTGTACAAAAAAATAATCCATTGAAAAGGTGGATAGTTTCTGGATGTTTTGACTGGCAGAATGGGCTGAAAAAGGCCAGAACTGGAGCAGGGGCAGTGAGGCAGCCAAGTGCCTGAGAGCAAGGAGGAAGAAGGGAAAACAGAGGTGAGCAAAACCTTTTCCTTTTCACTAGCAACAGCCTGTTATACTGATACAGTAGCCTCATTTAGTTTCTATTGAATTATTTTCTTAGACTAGATGTTATCTTGCCTTGGCACTAGGGCCATGCATGATTTTAAGCACAGTACTGAAAATCATCCATTGCCTTCAGGAGTTAATCACATGCTATACAGCACTGCATGAATTCTGAAGCCTCTGTACATACCATATCAACAGTGGGAATAAGTTCAATATGATAAAAACAACCATTCTTCTCACCTGTACTAGGTACCTGGGGTCCAAATTTAAATATGGAGACAAAGGATTCATCCCGGTTACTGAAAGAAAAGAAAGAACACGCTGATTGACACTTTCTCTCATAATTTCAAGCCCAGTATGTCGAGGAGGGCAGAGCCAGAGGATGGAGCCAATGGGAATCCCGTCATTGTGCCGCATAGTTGGCTAAAACGGGCAGGCGCCTACAGGAGATCCCTATTTAGGGGAGCGCCGTGCTCAGCTACGCGCTGCGTTTCCTGCCACGCGCCCGGCGGCCCGGCCGAGGGCCCGGCCAGCAGGAAGCGCTCCC